TGGCACAAATATCAGCCCATATACATCGTCTTATTATCTTCTGGGAGACGCCTGTGTCATTTCCACTCAAGACAAAACTTGCTGCTTGAATAAAAGTAATTTTAAGTCAAAATTTGCCAAGGGTATGAATAATTTCGGGCTTGACTGTATATGTAATTTCATTGTTCATGTTCACAAAAGCAGTGTGTGCAAACAAAAATGATTCCATAACTTCCAGTAAACACCAGAGGGAAAAAAAAAAAAAAAAGCTACAGGGAACAAGCATTAGTTTCAGAGAGAGAGAGACTTGTGTGGAAAAGAGAAAGTAAGGTGATTAAAGTAGTAAGAAAGTTAAGTCGTAATATATAATAGTAAACACTGTAACTTTTCTCCCCTATCATACCTGGGGGGCAGGGTCCACAGTGGAAGGAGCCCATGGTGTTCAGGCATTGGACCACGGGAGTGATGGAGCAGCCACCATTATTGGTCAAACATTCGTCCACATCCTGACAGCTATAGCCATTGCCATGCCAACCTGAGACATATTAGAAGTCATTCAAAAAATTGTCTCACTTATTCAGGCTATACATAAAGCCACATTCACATGCATAGACAAAAACTACAGTATGAGATGGATTTACTTTTGATTTTTGATTGTACTGACCAATTTTGAAATTGATCCGATAAATTCCCTAGGAGGAGTTGTTCAAATAAAACGAGCAACAATTGCAGAAAATTACCGCAAAATTCTAAATGGCAGACTTTGATGCCATGCCACATATGGTTCAACGTACAGTCACCAATAGCACAACTTTTAATTAGCAATATTTATTAACTGTACTGATATAATGTGATATTGTCAGGAAAAAAATCAGGATCAATACAATTTTAATAGTATGAAAATTTTGTTTAGGAAAAATAAATTTGGGCACTACGCAGTCATACACATTCATGGATGCACAACATCGGGAGCAATTTGGGGTTCAGTATCTTGCTTTGATATGCAGCAGGATCAAACCCACCAGCCTTCTGATTAGTGGACGACCCGCTTTACCTCCTGAGCCAGAGCAGTAACCCCAAATTATAGAAATATAACGATTGGTGGTACAGCAGCTGATACTACCGGACAGCAGCAGAATGAACAGGCTGTAGTTGGAATGGGTACTGCTATTTCATACTATACTGCGCTAAGACTCCATGAATGCTTCTGGTATCAAAGTAAAAAAATCAGTTAGCCAACCCCAACATTTAAATTACAGCCCAGTATGAGTTGTGTCATTGAGTGTTACCAGCAGGACAAGCTCCACAGTAGAAGGAACCCTGAGTGTTATAGCAGGAAACTGCAGGGTTGGTGGAACAAGGTTTGTTGGGTAGGTTGCACTCATTCACATCAGCCACACAGGCTGGGTTCCCAGCTGTAGCCTCCCAGCCACTTTCACAAATGCACTTGTATTTAGGCTTTATTGGGAAAAAATAGTCACAACGTAAAAACTCTGTTAACCAAAAGCATATCTACAGTAAAACAGAATCATGGAAATACAAAATTAAACAATCCTTAATTTTGATATAAGATCAGTTGTTTGCATGCCATGCAGGTAGAATGACATGCTCAGATGACATTTTTTTCTTTTACTAGTATTTCCAATTTACACCTCTACTTCTTGCACACTCTGTAATCTCTCACTTAGCATCACATCACAACATAATACAACATTAAAACACATTTTACTGTACTGGTAATAATATTCTTATGGAATTACATGAATGCACCAATGTCTGCTGTTTTTTTATAGCTTACGATAAATTACTGAAATCATATGGTTTGGAATGAAAACGTTTAGAGTACTGGGCCTCATGGACTTAAACATAAAATGTACTATCACTTACTGCAAATGAAGCTGCAAAACTTTCCTGAGTATTGATGCATTCAGTCTAACATTAAGTGACAAGCAGCAAAATCTTATCTCATCTCTATTGCCCTGCCATAATAAAAATATCAATATTGCGGTTTCTGTATAGCTTCACAGTCCAGAATTAATTTATCCTCGTAAAAGCTTCAAATATATTGTGCCATATAAGTATACGAAAAATACAATTACACTTTTGTTGAGGCACAAATAAAAGAGAATAAAAGCTTTTTCTTATTACTACTATTAGTCCACTCAGAGGCATAATATTAACTACCTTCAGTATAAATGACATCTAACACTGTGTATTTTAACTCTCTCTGTTGATAACAGGTAATGTGGATTCTGCTATATATTTCGTGAATGAATTATATATTATATATATATGTTAAGTGACTGCTTACCTGTCCAGGTATAACTCGGTCTGCATCAATACATGTGCCATGTACACACAGGTCCTGTCCTCCATTCCTGCAGTCATCATAACGCTCAGTACAGCGACTCCCTGACCATTCTGGAGAACAGTTACAACTGTGCAGACACAGAAATATTATTACAATACCATATTGGTAGATGTAGTACACAGTATGATTCATAAATAAATTGATCACTAACAAGGAAATGATAATTAAGGCCTCAAACACGTTTGATCAATTACCTCTATCCAGTGTTGGGTAAGTTACTTTCAAAATGTAATATATTAGAGATTAATAGTTACTTGCATTTGAATAGTAAGGAGTAGGTAGAAGGTTACAATTTTACTGTGTGTGTAGAGCAGTGGTTCCCAACTTGGGGATCGCCAAAGCTTCACAGGGGGTCAAGGCACACTTAAAGTGTCTTAAAACCTGCATTCTATGTAAAGGCCGGCAGGGGAGTTCCATTGGCTGCAACCAAAAACGATAACATACACTCTAACGGAGAAATTACCCTACTGTTTTCTTGATATATTAACCTTATCTCAGTAAACAGTTTCCTAACGAGTTTATGGTCAATCATCTTGAATACCCATGAAAAAACATTACTTCATATTCACAAATCTTTTACTAATATAACTGGTCTGTTATGATTAAATACAACGTTTGATTGATTATACTACAGTAGCTAGCTAGTACAGTAGTGTTACACAGTACATCACTTGTGAAGGTCAGTCTGTATTTCCATTCTGTATTTCTGGCTATTGTCAAATCAAATGTATAACTTACTAAATATGTAATATCTGAATAACACTAATCAATTTAGGATAACTTCATTAGTCCAACTATTAACAATTAATTAATCAAACAACAATTAATCCAACTAACGTTAACTACTCATGCTGTCACAGTCACTACAACTTGCCACCACATTAATGGCGGCGCGCTAGATGGTGGAACACAAAAAATGCTCACTGACTGTATACTACATGTTTTTTTTCTTTTTTTACCATGAACTGCTTATCTTCACAGTTAACTTTATGCTGCTAGTTAGCTAGCCAGTGTACCTAACCAGTATCTGCTCTTCAATAAGTTCATTCAACTCATTGACAGCTGAGATGAAAACGGCAGTGTATCCTCTCCTCGGAAAAAAGCAGGGTCCAAGAGAATGTTTTAGACCGCGTGATGTTGTGTACAGACCAACAGTTAAAATGAGAGAAACACTACGAAGTTGGATTGGATTGTTGTAGTAGTATTAAAAAAAATTAAAACAAGTAAAATTTAAACAATGGCCAGGCCCAGCAACCTCCAGGGGTTGGCAAATGTTTGTCAGCACTAATGTAACAGAAACTGCAGTTGCTCTAACAGCCACTTAAGGCTGACTACAGAAGTTATATTAAAATGTCCAGCTTTACAGCAGAAATAAACAAATGTATGGCCAGTTTTAAGGCTTAAATTGTAGGAAAGAGCCAACCTGTCCCGTGGCATCAGGAAAGCAAAACAGGATTATACAAAAAAGATAACCTGCCACTTCAGCTTACAGCACATACGTGGCAATGTTCCAGGGGGGTCGCTTGGACCACAGGTTGTGCTCCATTCCTGACAACCCTGGAATTGGTTTGCCAGAAGTATATCTTGACAGTTCATTCCCACCAGTCTGTGCGCCGACAATGTAGGACCTGCAGGATGTACCCACACACAGCACACGACCACCACACCACACACACCCACCACCACACACACCACCCACCACCACACACACCCACCACACACACCACCCACACCACCACACCCACCGACCAGCACAGGAAGGAGAGGTAAGAAAGTGAGATCTGGAAACACCAACCACTAGAACCGAAACTGATTTACTATCGATCCAGAAATT